TCCTGCGAAAGACGAGCGCGCCAGTTACCCAACTCAGTACACAACTGTGTCCTGCTCAAACACCGCAGAACATTTCTCTCCTGCCCACCCCATAGATATGCAGCCACGTGACCCCCAAAACTAGGAATGACAGTATCATCCTCAGGCCCACCTGGCATCGGCCCCCGAACCACCCACGACTCAAACGAGCTGGTAGAACCTTCACCTGGTTCACTACTACTACCATATCTCCCATGGTCACCCCTATACACAGCACGGTAATCCTGAGGGTCGTACTCTGAATCTCGACTAGCATGACTAGCTCGCTCATCGTCGTCCTCTTCGTCAGATACATGAACTCTACCCGACGAGTACATGGGGGCGCTCATGTCTGACTGATGCTCCCCCGACCAAGTACGAGCAGACCCGTACTGCTGCTCACGGTGAAACGGTGCCTCCGAAGGTCCTGCACCACCTAACTCCCTCCTCACTGATGCATTCAAACGTCTCGATCTTGCATGTCGAGCGCCTGAACCCTCAATCTGCATTAAATAAGTAGAAAATATAATTTCATTAACACTTACACACACAACTATGATATCAACCTTGAATCGTTAATATTCCAATTCCAAAATAATAGCAACAATACATAACAATTACAATAAATGAAAAAACAAATTACATAAACATAACAACATTACATAACAATAACAATAAATGAAAACAAAAAATAAATAAACATAACAACAAATAAAAAAAATAAACATCACAACAATGCATAACAATAACAATAAATGAAAAATAAAGTAAATAAACATAATAATAACAACAATACATAAAACAAAATAAAAAAAATAAAAAAAAAAAACTAAACTAAATATAAATAGCTTCATCAAACAAAAGAAAAAAAAAGAATAAACAAACACAAACAAATTAAAAAAAAATAACCATCACCAAACAAAAGGGGAAAAAAAAAACAAAATATAAATAGCTTCATCAAACAAAAGAAAAAAAAAAGAATAAACAAACACAAACAAATTACAAAAAAAAAAAAAAAAAACCATCACCAAACAAAAGAAAAAAAAAAATAAAAATAAAAAAACAAAAAACAAACAAAGACAAAGACAAAATACAAAAAAAACAGAAAAAAAAATACAGCTTCACCCAAAAAAAGAAAAAAAAATTCAACAAAAAAAACATAAAAAAAAAAAAAAAAAAACACCTTCACCAAACAAAAGAAAAGGAAAAAAAAGAAAAAAAACAAAAAAAAAAAAACGGAAAACCCAGAACTTCCACCTGAAATTTCCGGAAGTCTGGAGAACTTCTGGAAATTTCAGGCGAAAGTCCCACATCAGCCTGAAATTTCCGGAAGTTCCCCAAACTTCCGGAAATTTCAGGCGGAAGTCTGGGTTTTTCAGAATTTTTTTTTCCTTTTACATTACAGCAGCAAAGAACGTAATACCAACCTGCTCGCCACCGGAAATGCCGCCCCCACGACCACCGTACGTAAGCCTAATGCCTCTCCCGTCCTCCATACCCGGATTCTTGCTTTGATTGGTTTTCGTACGTTCTTCGTTTGATTTTCAAATTTTTGGTTTTTTTTGAAAATAAATTTCCGATTTTTTTTTTCCTCTGAATTTTTTTTTTCTGAATTTTTTTTTTAAATTCTTGCCTTTTTTTTAGAGAGAGAAAGTTTGAGAGAGAGAGTGTCGGGGTTGAGAAATGACTTGTGAGTTTCGTAACTCGGTTTTCCAAGTATTTATATATGAGGGGCAAATTAGGAAATTCAATAAAAAATGCAAGCGTCACCTTGTAATTTGTGAACGACGTTTAACAACACCCGAAAGAAAAATGTTGGAAAATTTGATTATAATAATGAGTATATAAGAGTTTATATAGTAGTACAAAATTAGAGTATTGAACATACCAAACTATGACTAGGTATATGACAAGGTACATTAGCTAATTGTAAAGGAAAAATACATGGGAATAATACCACCTCTAGGCCATTCGTTTTTAATAATCCCACCTTTGAGTTATTTTTTAATAATCCGACCTTTATCCCCCATTCTTTTTTATTGGTCCCAACCGGTCATGTAACCTGTTATAACAGGTTGCATGACACGTGGCGGCCTGTTTTTGGCCAAAAAAAAAATACAAAAAAAAAAAAAAAATCAGCCAGCCACCATGGAGGCAAGGAGCCAGCCCAGGCCAGCCCCCTCTTTACTCACGCACCACCCTAACTTACCCTCAACCTCCACCATCACTCACCACCCAAACTCGAATCAACAACAGCAGCCCAGCAGCTCGCCACCGCTCCACCTGCTCGTCACCCTGTAGCACCACACCACCACCAATCGCACCCTCATCACCTCCCATTTCTCCAATTCACAGCAGCAAAACCGCTGTTAAGCACCACCATTTTGGCACACAAACAGCCCCGCAATTGGCAATTACGCCCACACCCCAATTCAGCCAAAGAATCAAGGACTCTTGAGCGGGCGCTCAGCTATATCGAAGCGGACACTCCTATTTGTTCAATGTTTTCAACTTTGAGGCAGGAAGTTCAGAGCGGTCGCTTCGAATGGTATGAGCATCCGCTCCATTTTCGTGTGAGAAATTGTACGAATTAATGAAATTGGACGGCCACGATTCCTTCAATTAATCCAAAGGCAGAGATTTTGCTGATGCTTGTTGATGATGTAGCTGATTGAAGGTGATGAACGGTGAAGATGATGGTTGATGATGATTGAATGATGATGAATGAATTAGAGCAGCCAAAAATGAATCGAAGAGGAGGGGATTAAGGAGTCTGATATTTTTTGGGGACTTTTAATTCTTTTTCTTATTTATTTATTTATTTTGGACAAATCAAATTGTGACACGTGTACAATAATAAAAAATAAAAAATAAAAAATTACCTCCTCAACCGGTTTTAGGTAAAATGGGACCAATAAAAAAGAATGGGGGATAAAGGTCGGATTATTAAAAAATAACTCAAAGGTGGGATTATTAAAAACAAATGACTCAAAGGTGGGATTATTCCCATGAATTTTTCCAATTGTAAAGGATATACTTTGACTAAAAGTTAAGGAGTATATAAAGGGGTTTACGTAAACTATAAACAATAACTAATAATTATAATGATGATTTAGTCATCATTATCCTTTACACGCCCTCGCAAGACGGACGTCCGAAACGAGAGATCGATCTTGGATATAGTATTGCAAATCTTGTTCATGTAGGAAGTAAAGTGTCGGTGAGAAGGGTTGCACTAAGGGTTTGGAGAGCATTGAGTATTATAAATTTTTATTTTTTTCATTTTTTATTTTTTTATTTTCTGAGATAAAGGTGTGCGGTGAGGAAGAGATTTTTGTTAAAAAATGTAATATGAAAAGACAATGTAAAGAGAATAAAGAGTTGCTTAATGGATGTTTTTCATGGTTGTTGTGACACGTGAACTATTATTGCAAATTTAAAATGAAGAATTTTGCTAGCGTGTGCTTGCAACGTATGGGAAGAAAAAATAATATTTCTTCAATCTATAATGGTTTTGGAGAAAAGAAGTTTATGTTTTGGAAACCCTTGGTGAATGAACTACGAGGTATCGAAAATTCGAAAGGGGATTATTTCTCCATAAGAGGTTTGAAAAAAAAATGATAATTAACATCTCTTGGTATATGAAATATGGGATACCAAAAGATTTGAGCAGAAGTTTTAGGTTTGAAATAAAAAGTTTGATATAGTCACCATCATTTGTCGGCGTCGACAAAGAGTTTTAATGGTTTAGCCATAAATCTAATGATGATCAATAACTCATGACAACGTACAACTAGTACTGTAAAAAACTGAACCGAACCGATTCAAATCGATCCGAATGAGAACCGAATCGATTAAAAACCGACTTTTTGAAATCGAAAACCGACCTGAACCGCATTTTAGTAAACCCGAAACCGAACCGATCCGAGTAACCTTAAACAGTTTAAGAACCGAACCAAATCTAAAACGAACTAAAAGGAAACCGAACCGAAAATGAACCGAACCGTTTCTAACCTGAAACCATTTGAACTGGCATAAAAACCGTTTACACAGAACCGTTAACAAACTTCAAACCGTTTGCACTGAACTTTTTATAAACCGAACCGTTTCTAAACCGAACTGCTTATAAACCGAACTGTTTATGAACTCATCAAATCCTGATTATGACACTATTAACTAAATGATCAAATAAGAAGCAGATAATAATCTGATAGTAAAACAATAATACATTAATGCACTAAACTTTTATAATCTACTTCGTAATAAACTAGTAAGATCAGTATGGCTAAACTTGAAACATAACATGATATGTATTTATTAAATTAATGAGAATTTGCATATAATATGATGCCTCAATATGAAGTGATGAAGTTTTGGCTTGATATAGAACTTGTTAATCAGCAAAAGGTTAGAAAGTAGTATAAAATTTCAAACCAAAACTGTATAATTGCTCGAATCCAAACGACTCGATAAAAAACCGATTTTTTGAAATAAAAAACAGACCCGATCCGTAATTCAGTAAACCTGAAATAAAACCGATCCAAATAATGTTAAATCGTAGAAGAATCGAACCCGTTAACGAACCAAACCAGTTATAAACCGAACTAAAATAAAACTGAACCAAAAAAGAACCGAACCGTTTCTATCCTGAAACTGTTTGAACCGGGATAAAAATTGTGTACACCGTATCGTTAACAAACCGCAACCCGTCTGCACCGGACCGTTTACAACCCGAACCGAATTTAAACCAGGATAAAAACCGTTTACATCGAACCATTAACAAACCGCAACCCGTCTGCACCGAACCGTTTACTACCCGAACCGAATTTAAACCGTTCAAGAATAAACCGAAACCGAATCGAACGATAAACCGAACTGAAACCGACCCGTAAGACATTTGAACCGATTTCAAACCGCCCCGATTTTAAACCGAACCGATTTCAAACCGAATCGAAACCGAATTGTCAAACCGTTTTGACAGTACTACGGTACAACATTCTCTTTTCATAACTTTATCAACATACTTGTTACTCCATATCAAAACATCTAAACTATTTTGAATAAAAAAAAGTGAAAATGAAAAGTTAAGAGCTTTAAATCCGAGAAAAAGCAAGAATTTAAATCTACCCCTCCCGCAATTTCATTTTAAACCACCACACAAACACTCCTTAAATGCGACGAAATACGAAACTCTCTTGAACTCTCATCTAATCAACCACCCCTCTCTCTCTGTCTCACCCCTTTGTCCATCATTTTCTCTCTCCTCAACACTAAATTCCATACTCACTTCTTAATCACAACATCCCCCCCCCCCCCCCCCCCCCCGAAAAAAAAAAAAAAAAAAAAAAAAACACAAACCATTTAAACGATCCCAATGCTTCCCTCAAACGTCGGATCCAGTAGTAGCAGAAGACTTAACATCGGCAACTTATCCGCACCATTGCCCGCCCCAGCCGCTGTCGTTGTCGCTATCAAAGCCGAGCGCGACGTCTCGAAAGATCCCTTAGCTTGGGCTCTTACTCATGTTGTTCGTCCCGGTGATTGTATTTCTTTGCTCGCTGTCTTCCCTGACCGAACCTCGGGTAAAATCTAAATACTTTGTTCGCTTACTTATGTATGTGCGATATTCGTGTTATATTGGACTGGTGGTTAAATTCTTATTTTTCATTTATAGGTCGTAGATTATGGAATTTTCCTCGACTTACCGGGAATTGTGCCGGCCTCGAAGGAGGAAACTTGCCGGAAAGGATTCTAGAGATTTCTGAATCTTGCTCTCAGATGGCTCTTCAATTCAATAATCAAATTCAGGTAACGTAATTTGTTCAATTTGTCATAAGTAAAATTATTTTCAATTCTTCAAAAAAAAAAAAAAAAAAAAAAAGAAGAAAAAAGAATTCAATTGGAGTAATCAAAATTGTGTTTGATCAACAAATTTTGATTAATTAATTTATTAGACACCTTGTTAAGCGCTGTAATACAGGGAATGTTGAATTTAAAATGAAGTTAAACTTTGTCAGAATTTTGAAGTTTTCTTTTTGTCTTTCTTCTGTTCATCCAACTTTTTATGATTAGCTGGACATCCTCTTTTACTTTTTGCACTTTACTATGTGCAACTTTAGATTGAAATTAGTTGGACGCTTGTTTGAGGAAAAGTTGTACGTGTGTTTTAAATTTGGATGTCTTTTGCCTTAATTTGGTCATTTGACTTAATGTACATTGTGAACATGAATTGAGGGGGACATGTTTGATTTAAGTATCCGATATAGTAGGTGGCTAGGTGTCAACCGTTAAAGGGTTATATATAAGCTGTTAAAGAAGTAGACTTCGATAAAATTAGATGTTGGATTAGTAAAACAAATAGGTTCTATTGTTTTGGACTTGTTTTCAACTCACTTCAACATAACTCATTTTTCTAGTTCAATTCAACTTAGCTAATTTTTCTAGTTCAGCTTGATTCAAATTAGCACAATCAAAAGAACAGGGCCTAAATCATTGGACGGAATACTGATAACAGATAGTAATTTGTTTGGTGGTGTAAGAAAAGGATGCTATCAATTAACCTGAACCGTATTAACTTGTGCGGGTAGAATGTCGTCTCCTTGACAAATTCTCCCTTCCGTCCCTTTTTGTTTGCTCCATTTGTCATAAATAGATGTCCCTTAATAATTGCCCCATTCCATTTCAGGCCATGGTTATTACTCATAAATATTGACTTGGGACTACTCCACTATTTTTCTCTTAGCATTTCTTATTAAAGTAGATTTGCGGAATGAAGCAAACAAAAGGGAACAAAGGGAGTATGTATTAAAAAAAAAACACCGACTATAATACGAGTCTAAATTATGTGGCCAGCGTCAGTTAGGGAAATAGAGAATATTCTGAATGTCAGAGCTTGATAATTTTTTTGTAATGATGATCCAACTACTGTTAGAGTACTAGTTTACTACGTATAGTATGGAACTGTCTAAAATACCCCTGGTTGACTCAGTCTTAAATAAGAAGTGGAGCAAAGTTGAGAGGACAAGTGTCTGGTGATTTTTTTACATGTTATTATGGAGTATGAAAATGAAGATAATGACTTTTGGGAATGAAGATGGAGCAATGAGGTAGTTGTGAGAATGGGAGTGATAAATGAGTCTCAACGTTAGATAACTTATGTTTAGTTTTCTTAGTCTACATTTTTCTTTCTATGTAATTAAATTAATATTGAGTATGATCAGGCCAGGGTTACGTCGATATAGCGAGATATGAAAGCCTTACGATATAAAAATTTGTACAAGAAAATTTAGATTAGTGTATCATGATACACATGACAAATACCTATGATAGTTTAGTTGGTAAAGTGTTTGAGATAATTATAACACGTTAGTTTGAATTTCCGTCTACACTTATGTTTGTTTGTATAAAAAAAAGGTAATATATATTCTGTTGTTTTGTTACATAACGAATATTGTACATTACACAAAATATTGCTTTATTTTTAAGGTGGACCAAAAAATAAATTTATTTCAACAGATGTAGCTTTATGCCTTTAACCAAGGAAAGTATGAACTTGAATCTTAATACGGAGTAGCTTACCTTTTCCTTTAATGCGTAAATTTGACCCGCGTTTTAGCGCCAATTTAAAACTGTTGACCCCATTTTTTATGCTTTTTTCATTTTTACTCCTGCTTTGCTTTTTCTTTTTCAGTCTTTCTTTGTTTTCGTGCATCAGATTAAGTTGTGGAAAGATTTAATTTAATTAACTAACATTGTCTTTTAACAAGCTAAAGTCAAGGAATTAACTTTTCTGTGTTAATTAACCATTTCATTATTGCTCACAATCATAGCAAGTCATATCAATTCCCAAGATTAAAATTTGAACTTTGAGGTTTTATATGAAATTGATTTTCCATGTTTATTCCCATTCTCATGGTTTCTTAAGGGAAAAGAACAAGGAAAAAGATGTATACAGGTTGTTAATATAAAGAATATTAAGCATGATCAAACATTGATAACACCAATTGAAATGTGATTTTGTCATAAAATTTATGTGTTTTATTAACCATAGGTCGTCAACATTGATTTTTGATGTCTGAATAATGTGTGTGTACTTGAGTTGGAAACAAATTAACATTTAAGTATTTATAACAGGTGAAGGTGAGAGTTAAGGTTGTATTAGGCCTACCTGCTGGTGAAGTAGCAGCTGAAGCTAAGAGAAACGGAGCTACCTGGGTCATATTGGACAAGTAATTCTACACCAAAGTATTATTTCTAGTTTCTAATCTGTTGGCTAAATGTTTACCGTTTCACTTCCATCATTTACACGTCTATCTATCAACAATCTCAAATTCGGTCAGCTAAACTGCACCTTAACTATCTATACATTTGTATTCGTGTGAAAGCAGTGGAGGAGGGAAATTTGAAATATTACAGTGATGATATTGTAATGCAATGCATTCGATGTTTCTCTGAGATGTTAACAATGTTAGTTTACTATTGATAGATAACTTAACCCAAGATTGTTGAAAAAGTTTGGTGCAATTTTTTTCTGGGTAACAGTAAGGTGCTATTTGGCAAAGTGTTTCAGCTAGACAGCTACATTATTATGAAGCTATTAAAATTTTAAGATTGGCAAATTAAGCTGATTAAAAATGAGAAGATAAACACTAAAACTATTCAAAATATAAGTTAGCTTATGGATAGAGTTGCTTCATACACGCTCCAGTCATGTTGAGATTGTTCATGTTAATGTGTCATCTGCCTATTCATTTATGCTAATGTGCCCTACATTAGATTGTTCTTTATATATAAACTTATTCAATTGTTGTATATGTGAACAATTCAAATATGCGATTCTAAACATTTCAACAATTTTCCAACTTTCAGCCATCTTATAGCTTTTCATTACCGATATACACTATCTTCAATAGTTAATTAGTTTTGCACAACCATAAATTCAGTATATGATTTCTTAGTGCAGACATTTCTTAGCAGGATCATTGTTGAACTTTGTTGCTAAGTTTTGTTTAAATATCAAATGCTTCCGCTACGACATACATTATACATAAATTAGGCATATATCTAACGTGGCTACACTGCATTGTTAAGAATTAATACCACTTTTGAATATTTTTGGCTGCAGTCCTAGCTCCTAGCAAATGATATTTATCTTTTGTATTATTAATGCTTTATGGCTGGTAGTGATACTAGCCAGTTGGCTAAATGCAGTACTGTTTTCACTTCTGCATATGCTGCTTCCTTAAATTCTTGAACTGTATGGTGGTCTCAGGCTAGGTTAATATTTTTGTGAGACATTTGATTTAGTTCATCCTCCATATCCTTTATCACGCAGGAAATTGAAGGAAGAGCAGAAACATTGCATAGAGAAACTCAGCTGCAGCATAGTTGTGATGAAAGGTTCTCAACCGAAAGTCCTCAGACTTAATTTGGGATACTCAGATGAACCTCAGACCCCTTACTTTTCCGCTGCCTCTTCCCCAGCCTTAGATAGTGGCCGACTGCAAAGTTTTAGGATGAAGCATGCTACTCCTATTAGCAGCCCTGAATACCAAAGTAGTTCTTTCTCAAGAACCACTGGAGAGGCTTCATTGTCAACCTTTGACATTCCACCTTCTCCCTACCATGTTTTTGAGCAGAATCCTCTGTTTGAGGGACGGAATAAAGGAAGGCTAACACCTGCTTGTTCTCCACTTAACGTAATGGTATCTGATAAGGAAAGGTTAATTTACCCTAACAGAGAGTCGAGTGAATTTGTAAAAAGTAACCGACATAATGAATTTTGGGTCTCTGAAAATCACACTCATAATGAAAGGGCTGCACTAGCTTCAGGCTATAGATACTCTTCTGAATCAAATTCTGCAGCTCCCGAGCTTATGGGTAATAAGCATATTCAGCGAGATTGTGAATCAAGAAATGGACTGCTCAAGATTGACAACAGTCAAAAAGAAGACGGTGTCAGTAATGCAACTCCTCGTGATTCTTTCTCTATGGCCAGAACATCTTCTGCTCCACCTCCTTTATGTTCAATATGCCAGCATAAAACACCAACATTTGGAAAACCTCCAAGACGTTTTACTTATGAGGAGCTGGAGGTAGCAACAAACGTATTTTCAGATGATAATCTTTTGGCTCAAGGTGGATTTGGTGTTGTGTATAGAGGAGTTTTATTGGATGGGCAGGTTGTTGCTGTGAAACAATTAAAATTTGTGGATTCTCAAGGGGACACTGACTTCTGTAGGGAAGTTCGGGTATTGAGTTGTGCCCAACACAGGAATGTTGTGTTGCTGATTGGCTTTTGTGTTGAGGGCAAGAAGAGATTATTGGTTTATGAGTATATCTGTAATCATTCTTTGGATTTCCATTTACATGGTAAGGCCTTTCCTTATACATGATAGGGTCATTGTCTGTAGTATCTGCAGTTTCCATGCATACGTGGTAGATTCAATCTCTTATTTGTACACTTCATATGATTTATAGGGAACAAATCATCCCCTCTGGATCTGCAATCACGCCTGAAGATAGCAATTGGTGCTGCGAGGGGTTTAAGATATCTCCACGAGGATTGCAGAGTAGGATGCATAATCCACAGAGATCTACGACCAAGCAATATCCTCTTAACTCATGATCATGAACCTCTGGTAATTTACACCACACTTCCTTTTCCTTAAATTGGCAACTTTGCTTAAATGATAGCCCTATACTCAAAATAATTGCAATTACATGAATCATTCATGGTATGGACTACTGGTACATATTTTATATAGCCACAGGCTAGATCAAATTGCATCAAGTATACATTTATCAGATTCTTCTACTCCATAGTATGATAGTATAGTAATATATGTTTTAAGTGGGTTATCAAAGTTTTTTTATTTGATTGACTGTTTGAAAAAGAACATCTGATCCTATTGTCAACATCTTACAGGATTGTAGAACTTCAGCGCAACTGTAATTTTATTACTTAATATTACTTGCAAGGATTGTTAGGGTAAGGTCTGTTCATATTGTATTTAATATGGGTTTACACATTCCATATCTATCTAGGTTGGTGATTTTGGGCTGGCAAGGTTGCATTGTGAGTGGGATATTGGCGTCGAGCAGCAAGTCATTGGTGCTACAGGGTAAAGAACATATCCTATCATATAACTGTGAAGTGAACAAATTCTGCAGCTTGAATGTGATTCTATTTTACATAATGCAGATACTTGGCACCAGAATATTTCAATGGCGGTAGTATCACTGAAAAACTTGATGTATATGCATTCGGAGTTGTATTGGTGGAGTTAATTACTGGAAAAAAGGTTAAGGAGCTGCACCAAGAAAAGGGGTTTTCCTCTTTGGCTCAGCTATTTGACCCTTTCGCTGCATTAGAATCGAATCAGATTTTGAAATCAACGTTTTCTCCTAAGGAACTTCAATGCATCCCACATGAGATACAGACAATGGGTCGTGCAGCCTCCTTGTGTCTTCGCAATGACCCCGAGTCCAGACCCTCCATGTCAAAGGTCTTTCTACTTCCTATTTTTTACTCCAATATTGCATTGCTAAAGTTTATAACTTATTCTTAGTAAAATTGATCTGTATGTTAACATTTATTCTTTGTTCTTCCTACTCGAAAAAACTGCAGGTGCTCAGAATACTCGAAGGTAGCAACACTCCAATGCCTATAGGTTTGGACTTGAATTCAGTCGGTAGCCAAAGCGGACATATGCAAGGGTTAAATACTCGTAGACACTCCGAAATGCGGAAATGCCACTCCCGTAAGCTTTCACAGTAACAAGAATGTAGGACTAAATAGCAGGGATCAATACTACAAAATGCAGTGTTTTACTACATTACTGTGCATATATTACATGATTCAAAACAACATAAATATTACCTGAAGTAGATGTATATTTAGTATTTTTACTATTTACTTTGATGAAAGATGAACCACAGGTTTTGTTGCAGTCTCCCCCTTCACCCACTTTTTTTTTTCCTCTCTCTCTCTCTCATTAATTTTACACGAAGTATACTTGTAATTCTTGTAATTTGAGCTAGTGTCAATTTTTTTTTGTCCTTTTTTCTCTGTACTCTTTGGGAATTTTCACTCTTCTGCTTGATTCAGTTACAGTACTTGTATTATATAGGAATTTGTCGTGATGAGAACTCGGTCTCTTGGATTTTGTAATCATTGTTGGTATTTACTCCATTAAATGTTTTTTTTTTTTTTTTTTTTTTTAAAATAATATTTTTCATTTAATTGCACCATTATGTCCCCGGCGGCCCGGGACACCACAAAACGTGCGGTGCTCTTTCGGCCGCTGGACCCTACCTCTGGTTGAGCCGATTCCAGGGTAGGTAGGCTGTTAAACAGAAAAGATAACTCTTTCCGAGGCCCCCATTGACGTCTCCATACTTCCTAACGTTGCCGTCAACTCCCACGTCTTGGTTCAAGAATTTAAAGCTGATTCCTTTTCAAAGCTCGCGCGAATCGCGCTATCGGACATGCTTCCCCTGTCCTTGACCGACTAACCCATGTGCAAGTGTCGTTCACATGGAACCTTTCCCCTCTTCGGCCTTCAAAGTTCTCATTTGAATATTTGCTACTACCACCAAGATCTGCACCATTGGCCGCTCTGCCATGGCTCAGGCCACAGGTTTTGCAGCGACCGCTGCGCCCTCCTACATAAATTAAACAAAATGAAATGAGATATTGTGGATGTGAATTTGGTTGAGCAATTTTAAATTATGAGAAATCCATGGTAGGTTAATTATAATGAAAGTAATGGATTAATTAGGTCAAATAACTTAAATATTGGTAAGAGGGAAGGGTTAGGTAACTGTTTTTTTTTTTTTTTTTTTTTTTTTTTTTTTTTTTTTTTGCTCATTTATTTGTTTAACTTCAATCTTCTATATTGGAGTAATAGTTTTCCATGTTACACATTAATTAAAATAATTTACATCATTAGTTTTACTTTTATCTATTGTTTAGTTTAAACTTTTCAACATATTAGACCATTTTGATTCTTACCTAATTAGATTTTGACATAAATTTTAATTGTATGATAATTATTATCAATAGAATAAGATTTAATTATCGCAGAGTATATATATAGTAGCTAGTCCATTAATATAACCAACAATAATGTTCGATTAATTCGTTATTTAATAAATGTGGTTAATACATAATATTGTATAATGTCCGTAAAATGTCATACTTTCTTCATATTCAGTTGTGTTGTCCATGGGTCGGCCTAAACCAATGTCATCTTCAGTGGTGGCCAAAGATTTTCACATTTTCTTAGCTACACCTTGGTCCAGCTATTATTGGCTGGTTTGGGCCTCATAGGTGATATATAGCGGCAATGCATGACAATTTTGCTTGAGGGGAAGCCATGACTTATGTGGTCCTTAATTGATTTGAGAGGAGGATTGTTGCGGTGACAACCAAGTCCCACATGCAAAGATTAAGAAAGACTTGTATTCCTTAAGCACCCATAATAGTGGGCATTATTTTTGCTCGTGGGCATTTTGGTGGGCAAGCATGTGAAAAATTGGGTTACAATGGTGGGCTAAGTATTAGTTGCCCATGGGCATGTGTTAAAATGCCCAAGACTTGGGCAGAAATTGGGTTGAACAATTAGATGGTGGGCCCCACATATTGCTAATTTAAATAAAAAAAATTCGCTGGAGGCAACATCAAAACGATGCGTTTAATGTTGCACCGAAGAAGAAGCGAGATCAAAACGCAGCGTTTTGACCTGGGCTTTCTGAAAAAAAATAAAATAAAAAAGTGGACTGACGCGCGTTAGTCAATGGACGAATGCTGGAGCGCCCCGTGGCAGGTGCAGGAAGTTGGCCAATAGGAAAATTCTAGCGGTTGCCAACGGTAATAATGTTTGTAATGTAATTTCTAAAATAAATATTTATTAAAAAAAAAAATTACCAACGATCATAAAATTTAATTCTTTATAAATAGACATGCATTTTGGTATAATTTCAAAAATACCATAAATCCTCCATATTATTTTTCTAAATATTCTGAAATTAGAAGAAGATTTTTGCTGTATTGCACCGATTTTCAGGTAAATATTAATTTTTTTTTCCTTTTTTCTTTTTTTGTTTTTTTTTGCAAAATTCAGTTATTTATTAAAATTAGTATATATGTGATTTTTTTGCAAATTAAAAAAAGTAGTTCATGTAATGTAATTGCAATTATATATATAATTGTATTTAGAAAGTTGTTGCTATTTTATTCATACATTAATAAATTTGAAGTTAATTTAATCTGAATTTATTTGCTAATATTTTGGAAATTAGGTTGTTGTTTTGTATATGTGAAGTAATTTGTTATGCTAAATTATATTTATATGTTATTTTTGTATAGGTAGTTAATTTCGTTACATTATATTATGTATTATATGTTTTTTTATATATTGTAAAACGTGAATGTTGTATATTTAATAAATTAAGTGGTATTAGATTATATTTTTTGATTTGTTGTCATTTTAATTTGTTGTTTAAATGTAGTTAAAATTGTTGCAAGTTGTATATTAGTAAATTAAGTGTTGTGAAAGTTAGGTTATGTACAAATGTTAAAAAAATGGCTAAAATAATGTTGTGAATGTCATGTCTTATTACAATCTTTTTAAACATATTTATTTTTTGTTTTGTGATGCAGAATCTTTTAATGGATCCGAACAACCCAAATTTCCGTCAACAATTTTCTGGTTTTAGTGATGATTACCTAACTAATCCCGAGTTTCAATTGTTCTTGCAAAGAATGGGAAATACGTCTTTGCAACCACCTCCACAGCATCAGACACCCACTGAATTTCCCCAAGAACACTATGATAATAATGAAGAACGTACACCTGAAACTGATCATGGTAGCAACACCCAATTCGATGACAGCGAAGAGGAAAACGTACCAGAGACGCTGCAGTATCCTCCACAAGTTCCCAAAATGCAATCCAACCAGCTCAGGTTGCTGCAATAGCCACTCGTGTTTGGTCTATTGCGGAAGATGAAGCTCTGATTGGATTGTACTTGCAGATTAGCGAAGATGCTATTAAAGGTACGAGCCAGAAAGCAACTGACCTATGGCGCAATGTACACGCAGCATATCAAATGGCTCATGCGGAGAAGCCGCATATACTTTCGCCAAGACCTATGAAGAGTTTGTCGTCGCACTGGAGAAGGTTGGCAGCAGACACACTACAGTGGATATCTTGCTATGATGAAGCGGGTAGACTTCCGGAGGGGGGAGTGGTTACAACGAAGCTGACCGTATAAAAAGTGCGTCGAAGCTTTTTCATCTGGACAGAGGTCATAATTTCAGTTTTCCTCACGCATTTGAAATGCTTAATAAAGATCCAAAGTGGAGGCCAAAGCTGAGATGGTCGTTGTCAAAGAAGGAAAGAAAAGCTGCTTGTCATGATGAGGAGCAAGGTAGTGCTAGAAGTGGGAAGAGGTCGAGAGATGATGTAGGGGATGAAACCCCTACGGATGGTTTTTCATCTGGAGGAGTACAACGACCCGATGGTGTGAAGAAAGTAAAGGCCAAGTGTAAAGGGAAAGCAGTAGCTACAGAAAGTGGTTCGTCTGACCTTGGCGAACGAATGAAGGAATTCGCTACCATTCACGAAAGGGAGGCCATTCTGAAAGAAGAGAGGATCAAAATTGAAAAGGATAAGGAACAGAGGAAACGGGAGGAACTTGACATTCATAAGATGAGAACTGTTTCGGGGTTTTCTGATGTCTTGCGGGAGAGTTACAATTCCGAGACTGGAACCGAACGCCTGTACCTGCAAAACAAACGGATGCTCCGGACGATTGGAGATCCGCCTCCGACGGTCAAGTTAGTACTTGATTAAGGAGTAATTAATGCGGAAATAAAAGTGATTGGGTCTCTCTAGGTGAGAGTGTTAAATGTGCGTAATCCCCCTTAATGAGGATTAATGGAGGTATTTATAACCTTGGGAAACGTGCCAATCCTAGGTTTAGGTTAACCTAGGGCTGATTGGGCTTCCCTTGGAAGTTGGGCCTAGGTGGCTGGTTTTTCCATTAGGCATGGTGGATGCACCGTGTCATGACATAATAGGTCCAGGGTGGACAAATAGGCGTGTGTCACGTGGCAAACCCTGACAGTTCCAACTGGAGGGCACTTGGCAGGACCTGATTGGCCCACGTGGCGCATTCCGATTGGTGGGAGCAAATTCCCCTAATCATTTGCCCCTCACAAGTGGCACGTGACTGGTCACGTGTTACCGGTGACAGGTGTCGCACCGTGACAGGCGACGACCTGCTACAGGTGTCACTCGGCGAAAGGCCGAGAGATTCTCCCGCCCAAATTTTGAATTTTGGAAGTGACCCTTCGCCTTCTCACTTTGCCTATATAAGCGTGTGTTGACTTCAGTCATTTTCACACTTGAGAACTTTTTAGAGAGAACATTCGGACCCCTGAACTTGCTTTGACATTTCGGACTCTTTCTGCCTACCGCCTGCTCTGACAAGCCGACTACACAGGATTTCCAGAACTCCGTCAACTTCACTCGTTCAGGTAACCGTCGGTTCTCTTACTCTTAATTTTCTCTTAATTTTATTCTTTTTTGGAATGGCACCACGGAAGCACACGACACGACCTAGGTTAGTGATCAGCCGGTCACCGGGGACGGCTGAATCTAGGACTAGGAGTGCCGCCTGCCTTTTTCCGGACCCATCTTTGCCCTTTATACAAAGTCCGATTGTCTCTGTGTCTATGCAGAACATGATGGCCAGAACAAAAAGGACTGCTAGGATCTCAAACTCAGACGGCTCCTCCCACAGGGTGCCGATTAGTGAAACATCTGACCAGGCGCCAGATGTGGAAGTGAACCAAAGCGGCTTGAAAGCCGACAGTTCTGAGGGAGGAGTTATAGTGACCCCTTCCCATTTTACAGTTGACAAGTCTACATTCTCTCCTGCTCCTTTTGAAGGAGAGAAGGCGGGCCCCTCTGGGAGAGGGGAGGAGTTGTCCTCTTCGGACTCGTCAGAGGACGAATCCGAGTCTAGCTCTTCTGGTCATGCTTCTCTGGACACAGAAGAGAAAAACAGCCGCCTACAAGAGGCGAGGCTTTCTCACGCAGTTGAGAAGGGGGACAATTGGGCGGAGCCATCCGCCTCTTACCGAGAGCAAAATACCCCCTACTACTGCACTGTCCCACGGGGCTGGATCACGGCCATGCAAGAGAGAGTAGGGAGATTTATTGCGAACCATAGAATGGGCCCCGACTTTTTAGTTTTCGTGCCGGATCCAGAAGACACAGTCGTCTGGCCGGCTGGTACTAGTTATGATGGCGCCTGCTTTGGCTGCTACGAGGCGCCCATCAGGGCTGGGCTGCGCTTCCCACTACATCCGGCTGTTCAGCGGATCTTGGATGGGTATGAGTTGGGGTTATGGCAGTTAGCCCCAAACTCCTGGGTCAACGTACTCGGTTATGTGGCCGGGTGCGAATTGCACGGGGTGGAGCCAAACTTCGAGGCTTTCGCCCACATGAACTACCTCAGCCGGACCCCTAAGGCAGGCGGTACTGGCTGGTATCAATTGACGAGCCACAGAGGCTACCTCATGACAAGAGGTAAAGCAAACAAGTGGAAGGGAATGCGAAGCACCTTCCTTATCATTGAAAGTTAAGACATAGAGCTGAACAAGCGCTTCAACAGGTGGAACAGGAATTCGCCTCTTCTTGCAGGCGGCCGCAACATGCCGCCTGTTCCCCCCAAAGACAAGAAAGAGATCCTGCACAAAGGACTCTTTAAAGTAGAGTCGAGGGTCGACTCTACTACAGGGGCAAGAGAAAAAGTGCCCCTGCACTACGTCCCGAGCTTCAAATGGCTCTATGACGAGTACTTTTTGGCCGCCTGTGGCCTCAGCAGTCGGTGCTCAAGAGGTAGCCGGCCTGTCGAATACTCTGTTTTTCCATGCATTACTGTTATGACTTTTTATTAACTTTTCCATTTGTTCTTGCAACGGACGCCATGAGCAAAATTACCGCCTCCAAGACTGCGGCGGCCATGTTGCGAGCCTCTATCATGCAACAATCCTCAACCGACTCCCCCAACAAGGGGGCGCCCTTGGTGAGCTCCGAACCTTTCACTCTCTTTTTGGAGTTGGGTTTATGCATATACTGACCGAGTGTTGTTGTTTTTTTTTTAGACGGGCACTCCAAGAGCCTCTTCTTCCCAATAACCGGACTCCAAGACCCGGAGGACGACTGTTGCGAGCTCTCCTGGTACTGCCAGGAAACATGCGGCGGCTGAGAAACAGCCGTCCACTCCCTTTAAAACTCCAATCGGGCCGCCTAGAAGTATGAAGTTGTCCTTGTGAATTTAGACTTGCTCCCTTCTTTACTAGGTCTAACTCGTTTGTTTATGCTTGATGCAGCCGGCCCTCAGGAGCCAGACTTGGTCGAGGTGGCCAAGTCTATGATCAAAGCCATCCCTCTGGCTGAGAGGGAGGCGGTCAGGGGTATCGGCACCCTTGACATAGACGGGATTGCAGGGGTCCTTGCTGAGGTATACTTAGCATATTTTTGGTTATTTAAATTCCAGGACGCCTGTTTTTTGTTTGGAAACTGACGCCTGTTCCTTTTTACTTAGGCCCTGCTCCGAGTGAACGGCCTTCGCAAGCCGCTTGACAGGAAGAACAAAGAGGTAAAGGCTGCAAAAGCTATGGCCGCCTCTGACTGTGATAAGGCAATGTTTCAAATTGCCCAAAATGAGGTTTTGACAATTGATATTCTTTATTATCAGGCGCAGGCTACTTCTGCTATCCGGGCTCAGTTAGAGGCGGCCCAGAAGAAAAATAATGAGCTGGAGGCGACCATCAACAATCTCAAGGCCAAGCTGAGACCTCTTCGCCAAAAAATGTCCTCATACGACACCTTGGAGAAATCCTTGGCACACGTTAAGGAACGCCTGGTGACCCAGGAGAAGAGTCTTACTCAGGAGCTCTTGGCAAAGGCCAAGCAAGAAAAGAAGGAGCTGGTCCGAGAGATGATGGAAGACTCTGCTCAGATCCAGCGCCTGACCTGGGGCCGCCTCTTCCCCAATGCCGACTTTTCCTCCTGGGAAAAAACGTACCGCCAGTGTTCTGATAGATATAATCAAGAGATCCTGGCGGCTGCTGAGGACGAGGCGTTGGAGGAGGAGGAGCCGGTAGTGGCGCTTGTGCCGCTTGGAGTGGATGCATCGAAGAAGGATGCAACTGAAGCCGAGTCCAGCAAAAAGAGTGCTGACCAGGCGGCATCTGCTACTATTGAAGATCTGCCCCCTTCTTAAGCTTTATGTCTTCTTTTCACGGCCTGCGTGCCGTTTTTTTCTATTTACCCGGCCAGGGGGCCGGGGTTCTGAATATTTTGCCGATCTTAATGACCGGCTTCTTTTTGTATCTTTTACCCGGCCAAGGGGCCGGGGGTATGAATGTTTATGCCAGTCCTTCGAATTTGTTTCGTTTTGAATTTGTTAAGTATCGAAACTCTGATATCCAATTGCATACTTATACCGACTGTTTTGCATGGCCGATAGTTGCGGACAGGTACGAGGTAGTTAGTCACGCCACCTATGCCCCTGGACGACTGGTTGTCTGTTTCCAGGCTAAGCGATCAGTCGACCACTTTAAAGAATGGATCCTCTTCAACCAAGTAGAAAGGTGGTTTCCTACCTGCCTTGTTTTTTTTTTAAAAGCTAGAGACTCTAGTCGGTCCAGGCCGACTGTTCCCCGCCACATTTAATCTAGTGTGAACAGGCGCTGTATGAACACCCTTTTTAGTCTCATACTAAATTTTTAAGGAGTGACCAAGTAAACATGATTGTTACCTAGTCGCCGAGTGACTGAGTAGTAGAGGTTTCAAGCGGTGGGTACCGGTTGTTCCCCTTTATTTGCCAATATTTGTTGGCTATTAACTCATAAGGTACCGACTGTTCTTATCCCAAGTTGTTCAGTCGGTTGGTTGACACGGATGGTTACTGCGAACACTTGTTTGACCTGATTAGTCAGTTAAGTGAGAGGTATCCTTGTCCGGGAAACGGCTACGTGGTTGTCTTGGTTAGACAGTCGTATAGGTGCCGTGTAATGATTTTATAGAACAATGTTCCACCCAAAAGGGAGCTGCTCTCTGCGACGAATTTCATCCGGATGGATGCCGTCGGACGCCTGCTACAATGTTGGGACAGGTCGAATTGAACTTATATTTGGATCAGTTGGCTTGGCGCCTGGTCTGATCATTTTAGCCATGAGCCTTTGATAGTTCTTAGTGAACTGTGTTATGGGAGAGTAGCCGGTTGTGTGGAACAAGCGGCGTGCCCCTCTTAAGTAAAAATGAAAATTAAACATGGAGAGTAGCCGACTGTTTGTCAGTAGGCATGCCCCTCTTAGGTAAAAATGGAAATTAAACATGGAGAGTAGCCGACTGTTTGTCAGTAGGCATGTCCCTCTTAGTACAAAATTGAATGAAACATCAAACTTTCATTAAGTAGCCCTCGACTTTTTACATCATTCAAAAGAAATATTTCTTAAGATTATCTACATTCCAGGCTCGAGGCAACGGTTGGCCTTCTAGTGTTTCCAGACGGTAGGTACCGTCCCTGACCTCTTCATAGATTCGGTAGGGTCCTTCCCAGTTGGGAGTTAATTTGCCAGACTCATTAGCCCTACCAACTGCTTCCATTTTTCTAAGTACAAAGTCCCCCACTTTGAGTGGACGCCTGTGTACTTTTT